CTCTCTCTCTCTCTCTCTCACACACACACACACACACACACACACACACACACACACACACACACAAATAAGTAAAAGTAAAAACCAACCAAGGAGAGTATAACCACTGTATGAAGGCCCCTGATTATTAGAGAGGGATGCTTGGCAGCAAGGATGTAGCTGGATATACACAGACAGGCAACTGATGGCCAGGCAAGCCAAAGGCCAATGACAAGCATGAAAGGCAAGATTTGCTAATGAGTGTGGCAAGCAATCGAAGGCACAGAAATAAAGCCTTCCTAGAATGATTGGTTCAATTCTTCATTTGTTTTGTTGGGGATCTAGGGAGAAGACGGAAGACCACAAGAGGGACATCTAAGGTATAGGGACTCTCCATGGAAAAACTGAAAACTACTTCACATCGTCCAAACTGGAACCCCTGAGTGTGGGAGGAATTGAAATGACATGGGACAGATGAACGAAGCAGCATGTGATGAAATGAAGCAGCATGTGATGAAATGTGAGCGCCTTCAGGCTTGGCAAATGATCCTGATTTTTTTAAACATTTATAGTCAGGCATGGTGGCACCTGTCTTTAATCCCAGCACTTGAAAGACAGAGGCAGGTGCATCTCTAAGTTCAAGGACAGACAGAACTACATAATGAGACCCTGTCTCAAAGAAACAAAAATCCAACCATTTCTTCTTTATGTGTGTGCACACATCCATGGATGCAGACAAAGGCAAGAGGACAGTGTCAGGTCCCTAGAACTGGACTTAAGGGGGGCTATGAGCTGCCTACTGTGGGTGCTGGGAACCAAACGGGTCCTCTGGAAGAGTTGCAAGCACTCTTAGCCACTGGGCCATCTCTCGAGCCCCATGACTGAGTATCTTGAGGGAAACGGAACTGGCAGGTGAGGCCCAGCAGTACAGTGGTTGTCACATTTGTTTTAGAAGGATAGATGGCCACCAACATGGAAAATAGGCAGACTGGGGACAAGACTAGAGAAGGGACAGCTCATTTATTTATATTAGCCGTTATAAATTGTTGTCACAGTCAATTTAATCCTTTCCTAAACATTAAGCTTGAAAGCTGCTGCAAAGACAAGTCAGGCAGAGCTGTGTTTCTTCAAGACACAGCTAGCAAGATAGACTAGTGAGAACAAAGTAGTCTGAAGCAAAAATAATAGGAAATAATAAATTCATATGTAATTCTTAAGGTTCTGGCACTGTTAGGAAAAAACAGTAATTACCCCTTAGGGATCTAGGCAAGAATTGAAACCAAATGACAATGACTGGACCCAGAAAGATCAACAAGCCACTTACCAATGGAACCGGAGTGTTTGGCTCAAATTCTGTAGAATTAGCATCTAAAGACAAAGACATTTCGTGATTTACCAACATTGCTGACACATGTTCTTGATTGAAATAAAAGGTTCTTGGTAAATCTGGGACTTACCTTTCAAGCCCAGGCAGTTTCTTGCAAATTCAATCACAGCCAGTTGCATCCCAAGGCAAATTCCTATTAGGAGAAGCACATGAGCACGTTTTGTATCTAGAGACATTCAATTGTTTCCTGAAGTCTCTTAGAATGCGGACCTCAAGAGAGGAAGACTTCCTGTTTTGTTCCCTGTGATCCCCCTAGCACCCAGAATAGTTCCTGGGAGAGCAGTGAATGATAGAGGTTAAAACTAAAGGAGCAACCTAAGGTCCAGAGGTGAGCAAGAAGCAACTGGAAGGCAGATGAGCAAGCGACAAGCTCCCAGAAGACAAGTATGCCATCAGCCACAGCTGCTCTTGAAGCAAGGCACCGATGTGGGCTGCAGAGCTGTTTCAAAGACCTTGAGTCTTTCAGAGCATGGCTCACCACACCCCAACTCAAGAGGAAGTCTCCTTGGGCTGAGATTTCACATTCCTGCTTCTCATGCATTCACAACCAAGATACGGCCTTGTCCACAGGGCATCCTGAGGTTGGTCAGTCTGACGATGGCCTCCTAAGGAGCTGGGGCTGCTAATCTCAGGGAGAAAAGGAGCAGCAGGAGCTGACACGGGTGCTATGGGCAGGTGCATGGCAGAAAGCAGGCAAGGAGACACAAAATGAAGCTGAGCAGGTGATCAAAAAAGGCAGAAGTGGATTGGAGAGGTGGCTCGGAAGTTAGGAGCACTTGGTCCTCTTGCGGAGGGCCCAGGTTCTCAACACCATATGGCAGCTCAAAAATGTCTGTAATTCCAGTTCCAGAAGATCCAAAGCCCTCTTCTGGTCTCCAAGGACACTGCATGCATGTGGTACACAGACAGACACACATACAAGCAAAATACCAAGGCACCTAAAATAATAATAAATCTTAAAAAAAAAAAGATGAGTGGAAGATAAAGCCTGGGTCACTGCAGGCCTGTTGCCATACAGATGCTTTTGAATCTATCTCCACACTCACTGCAGCCCAACTCCCTCCTATAAACAGACAGCAAGGAGCATTCCAGATGCTGCTACAGACATATACATGTGATCCAGGAGATGCAAGGGGAGAAGCCATCAATGCAACAGCATGCCAGGATTAAAGGGATAAGCAGGAAATGGCTGAGTACTCAAGGAACTTCAGAAAGTTCCATATGGTTAGGGCATTAAGAGACATGATGTTGTGAAGCAGAGATGCATATCTGTAATCCTAGCACATGGGAGGTATAGGCAAGAGGATTGGGAGTTCAAAGCCAGCCTCGGCTACACAACAAGTTCAAGGCTCACTTGAGTATAGGGATATGAGAGAAAATATATTCAACATACACTATATACATGTACAAAAGCTTGAAAAATAGATTAAAACAGTAGAAATGTGAAAAGATTTCGCTGGCCATTTTATATAGTTTTTTATATATTGACAGACCAGATATAACATGTACTGTATAAAACAGAGCACCTGAGGCTGGAGAAATGGCTCAGCAGCACAAAAAAACCCTGTCTCCAAAAACTAAAACAGAGAGAGAGAACACTTGTTATTCTTGCAGAAGAGCCAGTTTCGGTTTCCAGTACCCATGCCTTCTTCGGAGCTCAAAGACCACCGGGCACCCATGTGGTGCACAGACATACAAACAGGGTACTTACTGGTCATTTTGTCTTTATTAAACTTACATGCCTTTAACTGCACAAAATAAAGACAGGAATAAAGGGCACACATGGCGAGGGGACATGAGAACAACTTGCAAACATCTGCACAATGAAAAATCACATCAGGAGCTTTCACCAAGTTTAGGTGGAAACTGAGTTTAGAGAGAGATTTAAAAAAAAAAAAAACCAAACCATGAAGGGCAGAGCTGTAGCTCAGTTGATTGCTTGCCTACCACGCTCCAAACTCCAGGTTCCATTCCCCACTGTAGCATACGCTGGTGCCTATCTATAATCCCAGCACTAGGGAAGTGAAGACAGGAGGATCAAGAGTTCAAGGTCACCTTGGCTATATAGCAACTTTAAGGCCAGCCCGAGCTACATAAAACACCCTGTATGAAAACATCTTGTGATCGTTTGAATGAGAACGGCCTCCATAGGCTCATAAGTCTGAATATTTGGTCTCCAGTTGGAGGCTGTCTGGGGAGTGACTAGGAAGTGTGGCCTTGTTGGAAGAAAAGTTACTTCGGGCAGGCTCTGAGGTTCAAGACTTGCCATTTTGAGTAGCTCTCTCTGCTTCCTGCTTACAGATCAAAATTACGAGCTCTCAGCTGCTGCTCCAGTGCCATGCCTGCCTACCTGCTACCATGCTCCCCACCAGGATGGTCGTGGACTCCTCTCCCCCTCTGGAACTTTAAGCCCCAAATAAACCCTTCCTTCTTTCTACTATAAATTGCTTGGTCATGGTGTTTTATCACAGCAATGGAAAAGTAACTAAGACACATGCCCTTTCTTCATTTGTGTGTGTACATGACATATATGCACAAGTGGGTTGATAGTGCACACATACCCAAGTTCAGAGGCCATGGGAGTAAGTCAGGTGCCCTGCATTATCGATCTCTATCTTACTCCCTTGATACAGGGTTTCTCAATGAACCTGGAGCTTGCCAATTCATCTAGGCTAGCTGGCCAGCAAGCCCCAGCAACCCTCCTGTCTCCCTATCCCCCAACACACAGTGTTAAGGTTATATGCATGTACAGTCATACCTAGCTTTTAATGGGTGTTGGGGATCAAACCAGGATGTTTGCTGCCCACTGTGCCATTTCCCCCGCCTGAACACCCCTTCTTAAAAAGCAAAAAGTAACAATGGCCCAAATGAGCTTAGGTCAGGATAAAACAAAGCAAGTGTCCTGGTTTTTCTTTGGAAAAGGAGTCTCAAGAGTCTGGGGTATCCAGAAAAAGAGCAGGTAATAGAAAAAACTAACATCTAACATTCCACTGACCTTCCCTTCGATTTATAAACCCACCAGAATCCCTGCAACACAGTGGGAGACTGGGCCTCCATGCCCTCCTACCTGAATCTCCAGCCACAGAGCTGCCTTTAGCACATCCAGCTCCCATGTCATCTGGCCTTGCTGTTAAAAAACTAGGCTTTGCTATTTAAACAAGAGCATTCAAAAGACCTGCCTCTGAAGGCATAGTGATATATGCATGTAGTCTCAGTATTTGAGATGCTGAGACAGGAGGATAGCTTGAACCAAGAAGTTCAAGGTCAGCCTAGACAAGACAGCAAGATCATATTTCTTTTAAGAAAGAAAAAGAAGACCTGGTTTAGGCAACTTTTAACAGAGCTGCTCCTGTGGCACTGGTTGATCTTTTTGCATTATCTTCTCTAAAATGAATATAAGTTTCAGCTTAGAGCTGTGGATGCGGCACGGTAGTAGTGCTTATTTAGCATACACAAGGCCCTGGGTTTCATCCCCAGTACCACATACACACACAAAGTTTCCACTTAAGCACTTCTTTTTCTTTGCTTTTTGTTGTTGCTTGTTTGCTTGCTTGTTTGTTTGTTTGTTTGTTTGTTTGTTTTTCAAGATAGCTGTGTAGCTCTGGCTGTCCTAAAACTCACTCTGTAGCCCAGGCTGGCCTCAATCAACCTCAGAGATCCGCCTGCCTCTGCCTCCTGAGTGCTGGGATTAAAGGCGTGCGCCACCACACTTGGCTTAAGCACTTCTTTTTCAAACAGAAAGGTTAGTACAGAGTTCTGCGGAATGGCTTTTTGCTGCAAGTGCTAAGAGGACTGGTAAGAAGAATACAGAGACAGACTTCTTCCAGCTTCTTGCTACTCAGAGGCAAAGGTTTGCTATAAACTGTAAGTAATAATTCTAGGCTTTACAAATCATTTGATCTTCTCCAACTGTACAGCGATATGCAAAACAAATTGGGTGGCTATGTTACAATAAAACTTTATTTACAAAAGCAAGCTAGGAGCCACATTCAGTGTGATAAGCCCTGTAGCAAACAATTTGGTACCTGACTTTCAAAACTAAGTTCACACCTTCCCAAGAACAAACCTTATTATATGTTACCCCAACTAAGGTATGACACCTACCTTATGTCAAAAACCTGAATAAGGGATGGCAATATATATCAATGGCAGAGTTGCCTTGCATGTACCCTTAAGGCCCTAGGTTCAATTCCCAGCACTGAAAAAAAAACATGAAAACTCATAGGATCAATAAACAAAAATTTTACCCAGAAATGGAATCTTCTTTGTCCTTGCCCAAGAAATTGCCTGGAGTTTTCCCAGTGTTCCTCGGATTCCAAAGCCTCCAGGCACAAGAATACCACTGAAATTAACACAAGACGAAAGTAAGGTTGACCATCCACCATTTTAAAAATACTTTTCATTAATTAATACTCTGTGTGTGGGAGGGAGCATGTATGCCTGTGTATATGAGCAAGTACATGCCACAGTGAGTATGTGAAGGTCAGAGGACATCTTGTAACAGTTGGTTCTCTCCTTCTGCTTTGTGGGTGCCAAGATTCGAACTCAAGTTATCAGGCTTTGCAGCAGGAACTTTTACCTACTAAGCCATCTCACCAACCCATATTACTTTTCTTTTGAAAACTCGCGTCTTCGTCGGTTATATAGAATGTTCTCAAACTCAGTGCCTGGCACAACCACCAGTGAATGTCTCAGGTCTGTTTTCAGAATAGATTACATAATTAAACGTCTTTGAATCTCAACCTTATGGGGACTTATGACAGACAGTTTCTCATAACTGACTTTAATATATATTTTCTGATAGGTCTTGGTGGCTTCTGAGTATAGTAACTGAGAAATTCCACTCAATAAAAAATACAGACAGCCAATCATGGTAGTACATGCCTATTAACCCAACATTCAGAAGGTAGAAGCAGGAGGATTGCTACAAGTTCCAGGCTAGTTGACTATGGCTAAACAGCAAGAGTCTGCACCAGTAAATGAAAACCAAAAACAAAGACTACACTGAGAACTGTGTGTGATAATACATACTTGCAATCCCAGCACTCCAGATGCTGAGGCAGGAGGATTCAGAGTTCTAGGCCAGCCTGGACTATATAAATGAGATCTGTCTCAAAAGACAAAAACAAGTAAGTAAAAGAATATAAAATAGGGGTTGGAGAGATGACTCAGAGGTTAAGAGCACCGACTATTCTTCCAGAGGTCCTGAGTTCAATTCCCAGCACCCACATGGTGGCTCACAACCATCTGTAACAAGATCTGGCACCGTCTTCTGTGTACATAATAAATTTTAAATAAAAAGAATATAAAATAAAAGAATTTACCAGGCAATGGTGACACATGCCTCTAATCCCAGCACTCGGGAGGCAGAGACAGGTGGATCTCTGTGAGTTTGAGGCCAGCCTGGTCTACAAAGCGAGTTCCAGGAAAGGCGCAAAGCTACACAGAGAAATCCTGCCTTGAAAAACAAAACAAAACAAACAAAAAGAAAAAAAGGAGTTCTACTGAGGGCTGGTAGACAGGGAGAAGGAGAGAGAAACATAAAATGAATAAAAATAAAAATGGGTTAAAGTCCTTTTGTTGTTGTTGTTGTTGTTAAATTTCCAAGACAGGGACTCATGAAGTCCAGAGCAGCCCCAAACTCACTCTGTAGACAAGACCAGACCTGAACTCTGGGTCCCACGTGTTGGGATTACAGGTATGTACCATCACACCCAGCTGGGTTCTAACTACTATATCAAAACTTTCAGCGCTCTTACATCATCAGAAAGAGTTAAAGCAGCCTATGATGTCAATGGCCAATTAAGTAACAGTGAGTGAAATGGCTAGAGAAAACACTCAAACTAAAAGACAACAGTTCAGTCTATGTGGGTTTGAGGCCAGCGTGGTCTACATAGCAATTTCTGGTATAGCCAGGGCTACACAGAGAAAGCCTAGCTCAAAAAACCAAAAAAAAAAAAAAACAAGCAAGCAAACAAACAAACAACAAAACAGTTCAAGGGAAAAACCAGGAAAGTCATGGTAACCTCAAGATCCAATGCTGCCCCAGGTTGGTTCTCTCAGTCGCTTACAGAAAGAAAGGAGAAGGGAGGGGAGAACCGCACATGTGGAAGGGCTCGGGACACAGCTCAGTTGTTAGTGCTCGTCTAACACGCAGCCCTGGGATTCCATCCCCAGCGCCCCAGAAACCAGGCATGATAGTTAGTGCATGTCTGTAAACCCTGAACCTAGGAGGTGGAGACAGGAGGATCAGGAGTTCAAGGTCATCCCAAGATACACAGTTTCCAGGCTGGTCGGGGCTAAAAAGACCCTAATTCAGCAATCAATTAATTAATTAAAATAAAAATAAATTAGTAAACACATGGAAAAGAAAATCAGAGAAAGGTCCTGCTTGTACTTCACTTTATATATGCAGCAGTCATCACCGCCTCTTTCGGTAAAATCAGCACTCTTTCCCTGCAAATGCAGTCTCCCCACCCTGTCCAAAGAAAACCACTCCTGCTGCCCATGCCACCTGAGCTCGTGTGGTACACCTGAATGCAATGTGGCGGGAATGCTGCACAACCACCCGCAAAGGCCACCAGGACTTACCTACTCCAAATGCATAAAAGCCAGCAACTGTTACAAGTGGAATAGTTACAGAGAAAGCACAATGACATTGTCCTCCGCATGTGGACAGTACTCACTCAGCTAAACACAACTTCTGCCAAGCTTCATGGAATTTCACAGGGTCCTCGGCTTTGGTGATTGGCTCCAGATCAAGGGAGTCTATGTACTAAAAAAAAAAAAAAAAACATCAAAAACCCAACAGATTAAAGGAACATTTAAGAAAAATAAACACTCAAAAATACTACAGCTATGTGGTGATATATTATGTCCCCCAATATATTGTGCACCCTAATAAAGCTTATCTGGAGATCAGAGGAAAAAGCCAGCCAATATATTAAACATAGAGGTCAGGCAGTGGCAGCACATGCCTTTAATCCTAGCATTCGGGAGGCAGAGATCCATCCGGATCTCTGTGAGTTCAAGGCCACACTGGGAACAGAGCCAGGTGTGGTGGCACATGCCTTTAATCCCAGCACTAACCATAGAGGTCCGGAGGTCTGTATAGACAGACAAGAAGTGATATAGCTGGGCAGAGAGAGAAAGTAAGAAGGCAGGGACAGAAAGGCATATAGGCATGGGTATACAGGAAGTAGGCCTCTCTTTGGCTAAGGATTTCTAGCAATAAGAATATGTGGCTGTGGCTTCTTTCTGCTTCCCTGATCTCTCAGTTTTTACCCCAATATCTAGCTCCAGGTTTTTACTAATAAGACCTTTCAAGATTTGTCTTGCACAGCTATCTAACAGTTATTCAATAACTGAGGGCTAGTCTAGCTTAGAAGGAGTTCAGTGAGGCCTCCTTCTTTCCAGAGGATCTTATAAGGTACAGAGTGAATTCGAAGCCAGCATGGTCAAATTAGCAAAGCTCTGTCTCAAACCCTAAAATTAAAAGAGGGCTAGGAATATAGCTTAGTGATACAACATTTGCCTAGTGTGCTCAAAGTCCTAGGTTCAATCCTAGTACCACAAAGTGTAAGGGGAGAAGGAGCGGGAGATGGACGGAGAGATAGAAGAGAGAGAGGAAGAAGGAAAGGAAATGACCTGGGCACTGACTCTCTAGTGAGCTTCCTAGTAAGGAGCACTTTACATATGTTATCACAGGTCATCACTGGGGGACTTCCAACTGAATCTATGCAACTTCATGTTGGAAAGGCCTCTGGTAAGCTTGCACTTGCCTTTCCCCGGACTGCACCCCATAAGACTCTTCCATTTGCCGATTTTCCTTTGTATTCTCTGGCTATCATAAATCTTAGACATGGCTAGGACTGTATGTTGAGTCCTGTCAGTCCTCCTTTTCAACTTTCCATACAGTGCTTGGACTTCAAAGCCCTTCATCACAATCTGCCTCTTTGGGAATTTATAAATTGTGTTTATTTGTTTTGTGGTGCTGGGGAAGGAACCTAAGGCCTTGATCATGCTAAGTAAGCACTCCAGCACTGAGCCACATCCTCAGTTGTGATGGTTTGAGGGAGAATGTCCCCCCATAGGCTCATATTTTCGAAAGCTTGGTCCCTAGTTAATGGAACTGTTTGAGAAGGATTAGGAGGTGTGGTCTTATTGGAGGAGGCATGTCACTGGGGATGGGCTTTGAGGTTTCAGAAGCCCATGCCAGAACCAGTGTTCCTCTCTCTGCCTGCAACTGGTAGATAAGATAAGTAGATCACAGCTACTTCTCCAGCACCAAGCCTGCCTGCCTACTGCCATGCTCCTTCCATGATGATAATGGACTAACCCTCTGAAACTGTAAGCAAGTCCCCAATTAAAAAAAGAGTTGCCATGGCCATGTGTTTCTTCACAGCAACACAACAGTAAATTGTGTTTGTTTTATTTGTTTGTTTGTTTGTTTGTTTTGCAGTGCTGGGAATGGAACCCAGGGCCTTGATCATGCTAAGTAAACACTCCAGCATTGAGCCACAACCCAGCCCAATCTGCCTCTTTAGAATACAAAATACTCGAGTGACAGAACTATCTAGAAGAGGTCTGGAGAGACTGTTCAGCAGTTAAGAGCACCCGGTACTGCTGGGTTCCCAGCATTCATATCAAGCGGCTCACAACCACCTCTATCTCCAGCTCCAGGGAGATCCAATGTCTCGGGCCTCCCTCATGCACATGTACACACTCACATGTACACACTCACACATAGAAATAGCTACACATACAAATAACTAAAAATAAAATAAAGAAATAACTAGAAGAGCAGGCTGGGGACTCACCATCAGATTCAACTTGTGGTTGATGGCCAAGGCTGAGTGTTCCAGTGCTTTGAACACAGAGGCATAGCAGTCCCTGAGTTTGGTGTATTTACCAACCAGGGCGATGGAGCATATTTTCTGCAGTCTTTCATACCTGAGAGGGGAAACAAGCTCAAAGTCCATATGCACACTATGAAACATCACAAGCAACAATGCAGCCACTGCTCTTATTCCAAGGTACTTTTCAGAGCTTTAGAGACAGACAAGACGCTCAGTGTACTTGACACAAATCTCTCCTCCAACATGCCAAAATCTGCTCATCAGATTTCAAAAACATAAGAAGAGCTGGGAAGATGGCTCAGTGGATAAAGCACTTGACACGTAAGGATGAGGACCTGAACTCTTATCTCCAGAAACCATGTAAAAAGGTAGGCATGTCAATACACATCTGTAATCCCAGCATTCCTATAAGATAGGAGGTGGAGACAAGAGAGTCCCCAGAAATTGTCCTCTGTCCCCACATGCATATGGTAGCACAAATGCACGTGTGCATGCGTGCGCGCGCGCACACACACACACACACACACACACACACACACAGATTAAAAAAAAAACAGTTTCTTGCCGGGCGGTGGTGGCGCATGCCTTTAATCCCAGCACTCGGGAGGCAGAGCCAGACGGATCTCTGTGAGTTCGAGGCCAGCCTGGGCTACCAAGTGAGTTCCAGGAAAGGCGCAAAGCTACACAGAGAAACCCTGTCTCAAAAAAAACAAAAAAAAAACAAAAAAAAAAACAGTTTCTTGCCGGGCGGTGGTGGCGCATGCCTTTAATCCCAGCACTCGGGAGGCAGAGCCAGACGGATCTTTGTGAGTTCGAGGCCAGCCTGGGCTACCAAGTGAGTTCCAGGAAAGGCGCAAAGCTACACAGAGAAACCCTGTCTCAAAAAAAACAAAAAAAAAACAAAAAAAAAAAACAGTTTCTTTAGAAACCCCAAGAATCCTCAATGTTGGCTTACATAAGCAAGTATAGATATAAATCTCAGAGTTTATCAAAGAAAAACTTAAAGCATCAAAACAAAAAAATAAAAAGCTATTTCATAAACACTGTGCTGTTTATAAATTAGTTTATAAGGTAACACTATATAAGAAAATGCAATGTACTTGTCAACAGGAAACATTCAAGTATGTTTGTAAGGTGACATCATATAAGAAAATGCATTCAAAGTTGTCTAAATTAAAATTATCACATTCCCAATTGGCACACTAAAGTCTGATTATTTGGAACATGTCTGAAGAATAGCGCTAAGAGAACTATTTAAAATATTACAAGACATTTAGATCATTTTGATGAGAAAATTCCATTCTACAAAAGACACTCAATCACATTTCACAATTATAGACACAATTTTCAGTGTTGCTTTTGTCAGGAAATCTGTTCAGAGAATATGAAAAATATGGTGATCAGATGTTAGGTATGTAGATGATATTGTAGTGCTTTGAAGCAAGTTCTTGCCCCAAACATGGAGGCAAAATGTTACCATAAGGAGGTATCCCCCTTTCATATCTTCATCTGCAGTGTGGGCAAAAAAAAGTATCAAAAACAGACTGGGAGGTGGGGATAAGACTTAGTGGATGTAACACTTGAAATCTTGAGAACTCATGTAAATGCAGGATGGGTATAGTGGCCCAGCTGTAATCCCAGGGCAAGGAAGGTAGAGATGGGTTCCCTGGGACAAGTTGGCTAGCCAGACTAGCTGAAGCAGCAAGTCCCAGAATCAGCAAGAGACCTGTCTCAATATATAAAGTGGAGATAGTGAGGAAAATATGAGATGTCAACCTTGGACCGCACACACATGTACATAAATATGTGTGTGACCCTAACATACACACATGCAAAACTGCATAGACAGATGCAAAAACAAAAACAGGCTGAGTGCCAGGATGTGGCACAGTTGGCAGAGTGCTTGCCTAGCATGCTGGAAGCCCTTGGTTTGATGATCCTCAACACCATGTAGAAATGGGCATGGTGGTAACACAGCTGTCATCAATCCTAGCACTCAGGAACTGAAGACAGGATGATCAGAAGTTCAAGATCATCCTCAGCTACACAGTGAGTTCAAAGACAGCCTGGGATACATGAGATTGCACCTCAAAAATAAAAAATAAACCAGATAAGGCAGCACACAGGAGGCAGAGGCAGGCAGAGATCACTCTGAGTCTGAGGTCTCCCTGATCTACATATTGAATTCCAAACTGAGCTACACAGTGAGCCACCGCCTCAAACACATAGAAATAAAATAAAAACACAAAAACATAAACTAGGCAGGGTGGAAGAAAATAAAACTAAGAGACTAAATGTAACAAGAAAGGTTAAGACTTCCCAGGAAGATTCATAATAAAAGACTCGAGGGAAGGGTATCAAGCCTTTAACTCTGCTTAGTTTTATCTTGCTCAGTAGAATTCACAGTGGTGTATGGCCAGAAGTGGTAAAGCAATTGCCTAGCATGCACGAGGCCCTGGGTTCAAACTCCAGTATCACAAAATGATGATGATGATGATGATGATGATTATAATGGTGATGCTGAATTCCTGATAACTGAAAGCAAGTTAATCTCAAGCCAAATATTAGAGATGCCACAAGAAGCAGATATTTTGTCCCAAGGTGTGGTCTACCTACTTAGCAATCGCAGCTGCCAGTGTGCAAAGAGTTAGCTGGGCCTCACTTTCTCCTCACAAAGAGGAAGAACATGGCTCTGACCCAAAAGAAGGCACAGTAAAGGCAGTTATAGGCTCCCCTTTCTACTCATGTCCAGACTTCCTTGACAAAAGTCACATGATGATAGACAGATGAGTGCATGAGCCAAACACCCCAGGGTGGGGGCTGCTGTGCTGGCTGGCTGATGTCCTAAGCCCATCCTTATATTGACTTTCCCTGTAAACTTGCACTTCCCAGATCAGCCACAGGTTCACCTCACATGATGAACACAGCTATCACAGAGGTGTAAGGCAGGCTTCTGATACTACTGTGAGTCGTTGAGGAATGGGGAGGAGGGTCTACTTTACAGGCCCACACCACACGGGCAGGTCCCAAAGTGGGAAGGGGTATCTCATTTCAGCCTGGGGTCCCCGGAAAGGAACACAGCCACTTTAACCAGGACCCCCAGCCTCTGCGTGGCAGTGAGCGTGCATCATCAGAGCAGCTGCTCTGCCCTCTCACTGACTCCTTACGTGGCTCTACAGACTACAGTGAAGGGGTGGCCATTACAGTGCAGTTACCAATAAACCAACATGACTGTCCAAATGATACAGATATCGTGATCGCTGTTTACTTTGAAGACTGTGGTAGGCTGAACAGGTCCCCACCAGGCTGGAGATGGAGCTCACACATTAAGGCTTGTATGTTTGAAGCCCTGGGTTCAATCCTCAAAGGGAGAGAAAAAATTATCTGGGTATGGAGGCTGACGCCTTTAAATCCCTAAGAACCTTATGAAGTGGATGTAGCGGCACACACTTTTAATCGCAGCACCCAGAAGACAGTGGCAAGCAGACCTCTGAGTTTGAGGCCACCCTGGTCTGTAGGACAAGTGCCAGGACAGTCAGGGCCACAAAGAGGAACACTGTCTTGGAGGGAAAACAACAACAACAACAACAACTTATAAAAATGGCCTTGTCTTTGCTGATACAATTAAGGATCTGAAGAAAGGAAAGAATATCTTTTAAAAGTTGTCTTTTAACTGGTATTCAAGTGTGCATATGCACAAAATAAATGAATGTAATTTTAAAATAAGAATTTTTAAGATCCATAACTACTGGATGGGAGCTGGGAATGGTGGTGGATACCTATATAGCCCCAGCACTCTGGAGGCAGAAGCAGGAGTTCAAGGCCAGTATGGGATGCATGAGACTATCCCCAAACCAAACCAAACAAACAACAAGTCACTGCCAGATGGAATGGTAATAGCAGAGCCAAATGTCCCATATAAAGGATCTTCTTTAGGAAATGTTAGCCAAATCAAACAAAAACTCTAACACTTACAACTATAAATCAGGCTAGGGATGTGGCTCAGCAACACAGCACTTGCCTAACATGCAGAAAGCCCTGAGTTCTGGCCCCAGGACTGGATAAAGAAAAAGGTGGAGTAAATATTCAGTAAATAAAAAGTAAATTAATACATAAATCAAACTTCCAGGGGCTGGAGAGATGGCTCAGAGGTTAAGAGCACTGGCAGCTCTTCCAGAGGTCCTGAGTTCAATTCCCAGCAACCACATGGTGGCTCACAACTGTCTGTAATGAGATCTGGTGCCCTCTTCTGGTGTGCAGGAATATGTGTAGACAGAACACTTATATATAATAAATAAATAAATCTAAAAAAAATAAATAAATCAAACTTCCAGAATTAAAAATATTCCTTTGAGCTGGGCAGTGGTGGCACATACCTTTAATCCCAGCACTTAGGAGGCAGAGACAGGCAAATCTCTGTGAGTTCGAGGCCAGCCAGGTCTGCCAGGTCTATATATATTCCTTTGAAATCCAAATCTATCTCTCTCTCTCTCTCTCTCTCTCTCTCTCTCTCTCTCTCTCTCTCTGTTTTTTGAGACAGGGTTTCTCTGTGTAGTTTTGGTGCCTGTCTGGATCTTGCTCTGTAGACCAGGCTGGCCACGAAATCACAGAGATCCACTTGGCTCTGCCTCCCGAGTGCTGGGATTAAAGGTGTGCGCCACCACCGCCTGGCTGAGAATCCAAATCTCTTTAACTCACTTGGGTTTAAGTTCAGCAAAGTCAACAGCTCCAAAAATCTTCAAAGAACACAGAGAAATACTCTAACAACAGACTTAGATACATCCACACCAGAACATACACATACAAAATTGTGAACAGGACATACTGGCCCTTTCAAGTAGGTTTTACTTCCACCTACAGGCCCAACAATTATTAAAAATTACATAAATAGGGCAGGGTGAGAGCTCAGTCAGTAGAGAACTTGCCACAAAGGCAAGAGAAAGTCAGTTCAAAGCCACCTAAAGCCAGATGCTGTAGTATGCTCATCTGTAATCCCACAGTTCTAACTTCCCATGCATTTATAAAGACTGAGAAAGTCAGGAAAGAATTGGGAGAAGTTTTTAGAAGTGCTATCTATGTCAAAAAATTTACATAAAGAATTCCTTTCACATACCTGTCAGCCATGGCTTTCCACTTGAAAAGCAAATTACTTGAATCACTGATGGGCAGGTCCAATCTCTCCTTAAAATATTTAACCATGCCTTGCTCCTCCAAAAGAAGAGGCACTCGGTAGATGGAAGAAACATCATGGATACAGATGACCTGATCAATGATAATAAAACATCTTTCTTAATACACCATTGGAATAAGACAAAACTCAAGAAATGGTTTATACTAAAATAAGAAAGCTATGTGTTGGGGCACAGGCCTAATTCCAGCTTCCCGGGAAGCTGGGGCAAGAGGACCATAAGAAATTCAAGGCCAGCCTCAGCTATACAGCAAAATACAACTTCAGAAAGAAGGGAAGGAGAGCAGGAGGGAGAGAGGAAGCAGTAATGAAAGAAAGAAAATAAGAAAGGGGTTGGGGATTTAGCTCAGTGGTAGAGTGCTTGCCTAGCAAGCACAAGGCCCTGGATTGATTCCTCAGCTCCTAAGGGGGAAAAAGACAAAATAAATAAATAAATGAATGAATATGTGCTGGAGAGATGGCTAAACACCTAAAAGTATTTGTTGTTCTTTCAGAGGACCTGGGTTTGACTCTCAGTACCCACAAAGTAGCTTACAACCATCACTGTGGTGGTTTGAATAAGAATAGCCCTCATGGGCTCAAATATTTGAAAACTTAGTTACCAGGGAGTAGAACTGTTTGAAAGGATTAAAAGGATTAGGAGGAGTAGCCTTGTTGGAGTAGGTGTAGCCTTGTTGGAGTAGGTATGGCCTTGTTGAAGTCACTGAAGGTGGGCTGAGATTTTTAAAACCCATGCCAGGCCCAGTCTGTTTCAGTCTTTCAGTCTCTCTGTCTCTCTGTCTGTCTCCCCCTCCCCCTCCCTCCCCCTC